GTGTTCCTGGCGGCAGGTGTAAGATGTGCATGTAAGTGTAAGACGGTGCAGCCACTCTGAAGAACCACATGGCAGTTGGTTAGAGGTGAACGCGTCCCATGAGCCAGCAATTCCACGCCCTCCTATTTGCCTGAGAGCACACACCCACAAAACACACCCACAAGAGGGTTCAGAGCGGCTTTTTCATAGCAGTGAAAGCTCGTGTGAATGGGAGGCTGTGTAAATAAACTGTGCTGTGTTCATAGAACAGAATATTGCTTCTGCTTGTGAAGAATCAGCTACTGGCCCGTGCAGCATGGGTGACTCTGACCGACACATGTTGAGCCAAAGGGGGAGGACACAAGTGCATCCCGTGTGTGCTCCTTTCATGAATTTTAAGAACAGATTTCTGAGGCTAAGTATCAGAAAGGGGTTCACTCTGCACAGGGGCAAAGAATTGCTGGGAGGGGCGATAGAAGTGTTCTACATCTTACTTGGGGCTCTGCATCTGTTCTTTTATTGTCTATAAATTATATTTTAGTTTTAAAATATGGCTCCCTCCCCCCCCCCCGAAAAAAACCCCCAAAACTCCTGAAGGTGTGGGAAAGAATTGGACTTCTTTCTGCCAGTGCTTGCCAGCAGGGGAGTGCCAGGCACTGCGTCAGGTCAGCCAAGAAGCAGTGTGGTGGGATCCGACGTGCAGGAGCTCAGGACCACTTCTAGGAGATGAGACCGAAGCTCGTGGCACAGCCCCGAGGGTGGGCTGGTTGGGTGGCTTGGCTCCAGGGGTTATTGGTGCTCAGCGCAGAGGGCCGTGGGCGAGGACTGGGGTGCTGGGGAGGCTCCTGGCAGAGGTGGAGCTGGGTCTGGGAGGTTGGAGGGCTTTGAAAAGTTGCAGGACGAGGTGGAGATGCCACAGGCACTTTGTGACTGTGGAAACCCAGTGGGCACCCGAGGGCGTGTCTCGCACCTTCCTCGCCATTCTCCAGCCCCACCCCTGCCCCTGGCAGTGCCCCCAGGCCCCTGGGGGAGCTTGTGGAAACCCAGCATGTCTCCACTCTGCCTTCTGTTTTCACTTTCCACTTCATGATTCAGAGACACTTATTCCATGTCTGCCCCAAAAGGTGTCTCTCCTTTTCCATGGCAGTACTGTATTCTAGAGTATGGACCGTTTCTAATACTTATGCTGTTGCCCTGTGGACATCTCTGTGTGTCATCCCCGGGCACCTTTGCAAATAACCCGGTAGGATCGGCTCCTTCCAATGACTCAAAAGTCATACACCTTAAAATTTGACCAACAAAAAGTTCTGTCAGTATGCATGCTTCCCAAACTGTAAGAGAGCAGCTGTTGACCCAGTCTCAGCAGTACTGGGCATTATTCATTCAAAATTTAATCTGATTTGTAACAAACTTCCTGTTTTAAGAATGTAGATTTTTGATCATCATTGAGATTATTTGCCTATTTTTGTGTATTTATTAGCAGTAACTTTTTCTTTGCATTTCCCATTTTTCTCTGAACTTGGTTGCCCTTTTGTATGTGTTCTTTATTTATTAGCAGTGTTAACCTGTATATTTTGTGTTGCATGTAGTTTTAAAGTTATCATTTATTTTTTTTTAACATAGTGTCTTTCACTGTACAGTCATTGCAAACTTTTATATAGTTACTATGTGTTAATCTAATTTCTAGTTTCTGAGGTTGTGTCTTGCTTAGGTCTTTCTCCCACCTGATGACAACAAAATACTCTCCTTTGTTTTCTCATAGTATTTTTTAATCTTTCCTTTTTCAGCACCCCTCCCCCCCATTTAGATCTTTGGACCTTTAATCATATAGAAATATGTTTTTGTGTGGTCAGATATGGGGTCTAATTTCCTTTTCTAAAAATAGATACAGTATTGTTCAGATGTCACTGGATGGCGGCCCGGTCCTGAGATGCTGTTTTTATTCTAACAGATGCAGGTTAGCTGTGAGCCGTTTGCCCGGCCACATCGATCCTGCCGCCTCTGTCCTGCCCCAGAGCCCCGATATCTCACACACTTCCTCATCTTTAAAGCGGAGGCTTTCACAGGATTCTCTGTGGAAAGTTCTCCTGGGTGAACTTAGGGCCGGCTCACCGAGTGTCAGGACACGCAGGAATACTCCGCCGGGCTTCTGCTTGGCTTTGCATTGAATATAACGACTGTCTTAAGCAGCAGTTCGCAGCATTGTCACTGTGAGTCTTAGATTCAGTGATGTCATTTGAGTCTTCTTGCTTTTATCTCCCAACTTTCTCGTTTTCATTGCTCTCTGTCACTGTTGCCATCCTTGCCACCATCGTCTTGGCGTTGGGCTTTGTAAGTAGCCCACTCAGGGGTCTCCTTGTTTCCGCGGGTCCTGTGCTCTCTCCACACTGTGGTTGAGGCTTTCTGTGAACTGTGCCCGGACTTGGCAGATTCCCCTTGCTGTCCCTTCTTCACCCAGTTAGTGCCCATCCGTAGGTCTCGTCTCAGTGGTCATGTCATGGCCTCAGCCTCCCTCTCTAGGTGACATTTCCCACTTGCAGTTTCCTCAGGTCCTTACCTCTTCTTCTGAGCACTCAGTCAGCTTGTAAGTCTGCATTTGTGCGTCTCTGTGGCGGGAAGGGAGCGCTCAGCAGGGGCTGTGCGTGTCGTTCGCTCCGGTGATTCATCTGCCGCACGCCTAGGGAGAAGTGTTCTTTAGTGACTTGTTAACATCAGTGAGCTTGGCGTTTTCCTCTATTTCCATATGTCTTTAAGTAAAATCTTATAGTTTTCTTCATATGGTCGTGTACATTTCTTGTTCAGCTTATGCTTGTAAGATGTTCTATTTACCTTTTTGGCCAGCAGAGAAAAGCTGCTGATTTTTGAATGTTCTGTATCTGGCCATCTTGCTGACCTCAGAACCCTGGTTCCTGCCTCTCTTTCTTGGCTTCATCCTCAGGCTGGTCGGGGACTAGGGGACTGCAGTCCCCAGCCTCATCGCTGACCCCCGTCACCTTTGGGGAGGCAGGAGAGGGTGGCCTCCAAAAGATCCCCCAAGAGCAGGAGGGGCTTTCTCGGCAGCCCCAGCCAAGCTTCTCCGTCTCCTCGGTGGCGCCAGTGGCCCCAGGCCTGTCGCTGAGCCCATCCCCGGGGAGGGTGTGGCCTGGCTCTCGTCGTCGTCAGGCCCAGCTTTGCAGTGGGATGTGGGTCTGGTCCCCCTGGGCTGACCCCTTCCACTGCCCCTTCACCTGCTGGGGGCAGGGCGGGGGGGCGGGGGCGTGGTCACTGTACAACCAGGATGCCGCCGGAAGGCCGGGAGGAGCGAGTGGACCCTGGTGAAGGTCCACACCTGACGTCTCAGGACGGTCCCGTGACTTTGATCAGCCCAACCCGACATCTTAATGAAGTTTCAGGGTTTTCTGATGTGAACCGCCTGTTCATTCCTGCAGTAAATCCTACTCATGTTGACTGTTCTTTCAAAGTTGTATTTTAATCTGCTAAGGTTTTATTCTGGATGTTCTTGTCCGTGTTCCTAGGTGAGATTTATCTGTGTTACAGGAAGCCTTTTCAATGACGGCAGTTCATAGAGTGGACAGACGCTGGGATGTGAAGGCTCTTTAGTCCCCGCGCCGAGTCATCCGACTTCTTGGGGACTGGTCCTCATTACGCAGCCGCAATGAGCTCGAGCTGTTTGAGGCTCACCTGATACATATGAAAGCTCCTGTTAAACACCGAAGCTTCCACAAAGTCAGAACTTTGTCTCATACTGTGTATTCAAGATGGCATTTTTGTGGGTTTCTTCCATGAAGAGACAGGTTCAGAGAACGTGAACAACTGAGATTTCTCTTGGCTTTCTTCACAAACCATAATCAGAAAACCAAACTCAGGCACTAGGAAGGCACTGGAAGCCTGACTGTTAACGCTGCGTTATTGGTGCTCGGGTGTCACGTTCCTGCTTTTCACGGCGACCTTAGGGAACTGGGGAAGGCTTGGTATTTTCTGAGATCGCGGTAAAGTGCAAGCTATTGCTGGTGCTGTCAGCCAATTATTCTGTACTTATTTTACTTAGACTTCAGTAATTGGAAAAAGATTAGGTGTCAGGACTTTGTATTTTGTTGGTTATATTACCAAAGTCTTCTCTTTAATCATTTCTTTTATTCCTAGCATTAATCATCAGCTGTTAAGGAAAGAGCCTAATAGTGGATTCCTAACTTTGGCGAAAGAAATGATTCCTTGAGTTTCAGTGGGACCGACTGACTGTTGATACACCTATGAACTGAAATGTATTCTCTAGCCATTCAGGGCTCGGGGCTGAGACTCTCAAGGAGACATGGGCCGGACAAGATCGGAGGCCCGGTCCCTACCCCGGGGGCCCCACTGGGCCCTCCCCTGCCCTCGGAGGCGCTGGCCTTTGCCCCGGGCCCCGCTGCCCTCTGTCACTCCCACCTGCAGGGGGTGGTAAGGGCGGCAGAGACCTCTGTTAGTCTAACCTGAAGTCCTTCTTGCCCACACCTTTCATCAGTGCTGTGAAAAAACGAGCTTAGCTCCATGAAATAATTTCTTCCAAATCCCGTCCTGGGAAAACCACCTCATGTAGGTATTGTTGGACAGTAAGTGGTGAGAGTGAGTGAGGGGCAACGAGGAAGGACGCACTCATTCAGGTGGTCAAGGTGTGGGGGACAGGGAGGACAGGATGGGGGAAGGAGCTGGGGTCCCCTGGGCCTCACTGCCTGAGGGAGGGGGTGTGTGTGCTGCCCCCCCTGGTACGGGACAGGCTGTGGCTCTTGGGACCCTTGCCACGCATCAGCACACATGCCGTTTAAGGTTTAAATGTAAACAGGTCACAGTGTGCTTGGTTTAAATAGAGTGGTGACTAAACTTTTGTATATTGAGAACATTGAGTATCTGAAATTTTTCTCATTTAGGTTCATTTTGGTTCCTCTTGGGGTGCTGCCCGCAGGTACGCTGCTGAGATGTGGCAGTGCCAGGGCGATGTGGCTTCCTGTTTGTAACCCTGTTTCCTGTCTCTTTTGTGCCAACAGAGGAATTACGCAGGTTGAGCTGGTCCGGGATCCCCAAGCCGGTCCGTCCGATCACGTGGAAGCTGCTCTCAGTAAGTCTCTGGGCCGCCCCTCCGCACACCTCCCGCCTGCGTGGCCGCCCTCGGTGGTCCGGCTCCAAGTGAGGCCCCTCAGCTGCGGCCCTGCCCGTGCCCTGTCCCTGCTGCAGCCATTCAGGCTGTGGCCTGACGACATTTTCCATCCTTTGCTTAATTTCAAGCTTGGTTTGACAAGGCTGGCGGAAAATGAGGATGAGTAATAATTTATGGCAGCGGTATTCTGTTACTCCGGTTTTATAATTTTTAAAGTCTTTGTAATATTTTCAAACCTGTGATGTAGAAAGGTTCCAGCATAGAAGATTATTGCAGCTCCGAGGAATACATGACAGGGACATATGTTCGACCAAGGTGGTGGTTTTTTGTTTGTTTCTATTTTTTTTTTAATATTACTAGTGATGCTAGAGGAAAACGATCCATGTCAGAAAGGCCTGTGTTTCTGTGACGGGGGAGCTCTGGCTTCTCCCCGCTGGTGCCAAACTGCCTGTGGTGGGGACTCCAGAGATCGGGTGCGGGGTGGGCACCCCCACGTTCTCAGTTACTTAACCAGGCTGACATCAGAGTGAGCTTGGCCCTGCTGAGAATTTCAGAATATTTTACGGACAGCTTTCTGCTGTCTTCCTTTTTTAAAAATGATTTTTGGAGCTAAGTCAATAGGGAACTCTGAGTGTTTTCTCTAAATTGGGTCTGACTTTGAGCATTTAAAAGGCTCTTTCTTGCTAATGAGTCTTAATAAATTTTCAGCTTACTACCTCATAATCCTAAATGCAGAAGCAGCTCCGAACAGTATTGATTGATTGAATGTTTTCTTGCAATTAAAATTAGACCCGCTGCAGTTGCTTATACTTTTGTTTGGTCTTTCTTATTTTAAGCATTTGTGTCTAGTTTTCCAGTGCCTTCTAAGATAGGTTACAAGCTTTTCAGATCGAATTGTGGGAAGTTTTGATGACAATACCTTTAAGACTCCATGTTGCCCTTTTGTATTTATTAGGAGATGTGGTGACTGGGTGGAGAGGTGTGTGTGCGTCACTTCGTCCTGCTCTTCTCCTCAGTTACCGGTGTGTGTGGGTCACGGCTCAGGTGCCCTGCGTGTGCCGCACAGTGGCTGACTTGGGAGATGGGTGACAGTGGACAGACGGGCAGGGGGAGGTGGCAGAGGTTCTGCTTTGATAGTTGTGTGGAGGTGGGTAGAAGTGGTTGGCAGGGATGCAAGTGCTAGAACACTGTCCTTCTTGGGCACATTTATTCATTTCCCATGACCGATCACAAGGGGACTTTGCCTGGAGTCAGAGCTGGATCAGACACCAGCCTCACTGTGAGGAGGGCCGGGTTTGGCCAGGGCTGCAGTGCACTCTGGGACCACGTGGTTGTTGGGTGTCCAGCACGCAGCACATAAGCAGTGTAAGAGAGGGACACTTTACTCTGAGGCCTGCAGGTGGTGGGAGGGGGACAGAGGGGACAGAAGGGACAGAGGTAGACAGGACAGTTCTCCCCTCTCTTAGGCCGGGGTTGATGGATAAATAAAAAAAACAGTGTCAGGGTCAGTGAGCAAAGTCTGTCCTTCCACAAGGGGTGGAGACAGGGAGAGGTGGTGCCGGGGCTCTGCAGACCCGCTTGGGTGACAGGCGAGGCTTCATGGTGGAGGTGGGATGCTTCTGTGGCGTCTTGAAGGGTATGGTTGTGTCCCCTGGTGAGGGAGATTGGGAGGTCACGGGCCCTGGGCGCAGTGGTGTAGGCAGCCAGGAGCCGTGGCTGAGGGAGCTGGCTGCCCAGGTACCAGCAGGTAGGTCTCTGGGGTGAGGGCGGGGTGGGGAACTGGGAAGGCGCGGACAGGAGGAGGCCAGGCGCTCAGGGGCCAGGGCTGCACTGCGGAGGCTGCATCCTGCGGGGCTGAAGTGAGGGGCAGGGGGGCTGAGTCGCTGGAAGAGCAAAGCCAGGAGGAGCCTCCTGAGAGGGCCCCTGGTCGTGCCATCTGCTCGTCTGACCAGTGTTTACTGGGCGCTTACTGCGGCTCAGGCCCTGCTTGGTGCTGGGACACAGCTGGGGAGGCAAAGTCCCAGGACCCTGTCCTCACGGGGCCTGCCCTCCTCCTGTCCCCCCAGGATGACCTGGGGCCCCCTGCACAGGAGGAGCCCTTCACTCGGGGTCCTGAGTGCCCAGGGCAGGGCCTGCCCCATGCCTCTTTGCTGTTTTGCTTGTTTCCTAAGCATTTACTGAGCGCTTGCTGTGTGCCTGACTGCGCGCATGCGAGCGATTACCATGGAAGCAGTGGCCTCTGAGTGCAGAGGGCCTGAGCAGGTCAGGTGGCCACAGAGGCGTCCCTGACCAGGGCCTGGCATGGGGGGCGTGGGGAGGAGGAAAGAGCGGTACCAGGAGTGGGAAGAGGCTGCTCGCAGTGCCTGTGGGGAGGACAGAGCTGGGACAGGATGCTGGCAAGGGGAGGCGGTGGCCAGGACTGGGGGTCTGGGTGGGATGGGGGCCACTGCAGCCAGCGTTCCTTCTTTGGAGCCGCACTGTCTTATCCAGGGAATTTGTGCCCCTGGGCGCCTCCGATCCCGAGCAGTGATGGTATCCCAGCCTGCAGGGGCTCCCAGTCGGCCCAGGAGACAGACCTGGGCACGGTCTCTATACATGGTGCTGTAGGCCACGCAGGTGAGGGTGGGCTCTGGGCACCGGGGGAAGGGAGCCCACCAGGTTGAGGGGTGCTGTTCAGACATGGGCTTGGCCGGGAAGGAAGTCAGAATGTGGGGCAGTGAGGCCGTCTCTTCCCCCACCCCCGTGCTGACGAGGAGCTCCCCGTGAGCCTCCCTCTGCCCTCTGTTACTCCCGGGCCGGGAAGCCCGTGTCTCTTTCTGTTTTGGGGGTTCAGTGAAGGCTGCTCATCACTCATCCGTGATCAGCCAGTGTTGCTTTGCAAGTGCTGAGTGAAGAATCGGGGGAGGGGCCCTGCTGGCACCTGGGGCTGGGGGTACAGAGAAGGGGTCTCTCCCGTCGAGGCTGGTTTGGGCCCAGCTTCTGTTCTGGGGAGCTTTCGCAGATCCTGACGTCTGGGCCCAGGGAGCAGGTGGAGTCTTGGGGTGGACCAGGCACCAGGGTTTGTACGGTCTCCGGCTCTCCATTACGAGCTCTGCTGCACGCCGCTTGGGCTGCCCGCTGGGCTGTGGTTTTCCATTCCTGCTGCACATTAGTGTCACCAGGGAGCTGGGGAAATGCCGGTACCTGGGTTCCTGCGGGGTTGTCACATGCACCCAGGGGTGGGGACCACTGCTCTAGGGCCCTCAGGCTCCATGGGGGACGGAGCAGGGCACCCACGAGCCAGCTGGGAGACAGGGTCCGCCGGAGGCCGTGTATCCAGCTGCGGGGCCCGGGCAGGCGCCGCTGGACTTGCCGCGCCAGGGGCGCAGCTGTTGGTGGAGTGGGTGGCTGCTTCCGATCGAGAGCTGCCAAGCTGAACCCAGCATGGAGAAGAATTTAGCATTTGTCCAGTTGAAAAAGACAAATAACCAAAGCTGCACTTGGAATCTTTTTCCTGACCTGGCGAACCAGTGACATTTTCTCTCCCATACGTTCATGGTGTGTTGTTGACACGGTCCTGGTGGTTTGTTGAAGGGCACTGTCCTTAACTGGTGAGCAGGAAACGCCCCTCCAGTGCAGAGGGGTGAGGAACTCAGCGCTTGCCATTTGCGGAGGACTAACATATACTCTAGTCTAGAACATATCATTAAATCACCACTAATGCTATTTAACATTTAGATTCCATGCAAGCATGGCGGTAACTTTGTAAAAATTAGCACTGTGGAAAACCCATATTTCTGGTTCTTTTTTCATTAACTATTTCAGAAACATCAGACAATAACTGATTAAACATTTAACATTTATGCTAGTGGGTAGAATAGCTAAGAATGATAATAAAACTCTCGTATCTCTTCTTTCAGTGTACTGAGGTAGGTCTGCACATGAAGCCAGTGGGAGGGAGGGATTCGATGTGTGTGTCACAGGGACAGTTTCCATGTAAGTGTATGCATGCATTTTTTACATTTATGATTAGTGTTTTTATAGCATGCTAATACAGCAATGAAGTTTTCTGTAGTTCTGTCATTTAAAATTCATAACATACTTGAATATATTTTCATTTGCATAATTTCTAGTCTTGCTTAATTATCTGAAGGCCTCCACTCGCATGTGTGTGTTTTCCTTTAGGGACGGGGCATCAGGAGTGTGTGGGGTTTTTTATTGCCTGTATTTCCATTATGACATACTTGCCTTTTAGAATCTGTTTCAGTAAGTCCTGTCACGATTTGGGAACAGGGAGAATTTCTGAGTGCACATTCACGGTCCCTAAGGACCCCGCGGCGCTGCGTGCAGCCGTGTAAGGCCGTTCACACCCTCACCCGGCCCATGCCTCACCTGAAGAAGGCTCCGGCCTGGCGCACAGGGCCTGCTGCCCGGCCGCCGCACACCTCTGCACGCTCCTGCCCCGCCGGGCTGTCTGGGGCCCGGCTCCCTGCGCGCTCGCTGTCTCCTGCCCTTTGCACCGCTCCCCACCTGCCCACCCAACCAAACCCAGAACGCCTTGCCAGCTAACAGTAGGCACCCCTCCCAACTTCGCTCAGGCCCTTGCTGCCTGGACCTGGGGCTGCCTCACTGCCGCCAGGGTTGGAGGCACCACTGCACAGCGCGGGGAGATCGTTCCTTCATTCAGCAAGTCTATCGAGTACCTGTGGTGTGCCAAGCAGTGTTCTGAGTCCTTGGCTGGGGGGTGTCTGTGGAGGAGGGGGCAGAATTCCTGCCCTGATGGGGCTTGCAGTCCCGTGGGAGGAGACAGAGAGGAACAAGCACACTTTGTGGCATCTTAGAAAGTGGAAAATGTGCAGGAAACAGCTGGAGCAAGGTAGGGTGGGCTGAGGGCCAGGGGGCAAGCTTGCTGTCTCAGGACAGTGGTTAGCTTGGTGACTCCGAGCCAGGACTCGGAGGAAGGGTGTGGAGGGGGCCCTGCAGGAATCGGGGCCATGTGCTCTGGGTCATTCTTGAGAGGAAGTTGGTGATCTAACGCCATGTGTGCCGTGGGGTTGCAGACAGACCAGAGCCCCTGTTGGGTGGAGCTGAGCCTGAGATGAAGTGGGGGCCGTGGCAAGGGGAAGTAGCATTCTGAGGCCCTAATGCTGCGGAGGAATGGGGCGCCGTAAGAAGAGGGTGCTGCCCTGGCATATGCCTGGTGGTGCTGGCTAAGGAGGCCTAATTAGGGGAGGCTCAGCTGGGTGGTTTATTGACGGCTCGCGGAAGGCACTTTGGGCATGCCTGGCATTTCAGTACACACGTGGGGACTGGCGGTTGTTTTTGTCGCTGTTGTAATTATGTGAAGTGGTTTGCTTTCTGGAATATTAGCATTCTCTCATTTTTCCAGGAAGTGCAGGCCGGTGGGAGTGATAGCCACACGTTTCCTCAGGAACAGGGACTCGCTGTCTGGCTCGTGCGTGTATTTTGTCAGCTGGACCGTGCTGGTGACTGTGCCCCTTTCCAGCCTATGGTAATTAATTAGCAGATGTTGCTCTGAGGGACCCTCCTTGGTGTTGGTGAAGATGGAGGACAGGTGGCACCTGTGACATGGCAGCGGGGATGGAAGTCGCTACACCTCCTTGCAGGTGGCTTGCAAATGAGGCATCAAGAACGTGGACTGTATTTAGTGTCCTGGAGCCAACAGTCCTGTTGGAGGAAAAATCAGACATTCTGCCCCATATTTTAGAATACTGGACAGTTGGAAATAGAATGTTCAGTAAAAGGGGAAAGGTTAAATGTGAATGCATGTAAATATAAATACATGTGCTGGAAGGCTGTGGAGCCGTTGGGATCTGTGTTTTTGGAGTAGGGTTGGTGAACTTCTTTAAGGCGTTGATAGCAAATATTTTAGCACATTCTCAGTGGGTCATAGGGTCTGTTCCACAGCTACTCACCGTGGCTGCTGTAGTGTAAAGGCAGCCATATGCAAATCTACAAACAGGCATGGCTTCGTTTCAACAGAATTGCATTTAAAAAAGTGGGTGATGGGCTATAATTTCTCGACCTCTGTAGTAGGACAATTCTTAATGACAGTGGGAATATAGTCATGATTTTAAAGTGGAATATGTCAGCACAGAATGTTGGATAAGGGAAATTTCTTAAAAATTATATGAAGAGGACTAAGCATAAAAGGTTACTATATTGGACTGCATTAACATGAGGGACTTCTCTTCATCAGAAGACATCAATCATTAACGGGAGACGAGGAGGAGGAGGAGGCATTCACAACAGGACTCAGAAGCGGGCTGCAGTAGATGCCCGTGAGTCGGTAGGGGAAGGGGACCGACTGCTCGGACTGCTGTTGTGCGTGTGCTCCACAGGCCACATCTGCTGGTCTGGGAAACGCAGGGTACAGCTCCCGTCTAGCAGCTACCACTGCAAGCCCGTCAGAATGGCTGAAATGGAGCAGTCTGACAACACCTAGTGTTGACAAGCCCCTGGAACAGTGAGCGCGTTCACGTACTCGCAGTGGGAGTGTAATTGCTTCGGAAAATTCTTAACTTCAGAAATCTTTCAAAGATAATGCACGCCCGTAGTTCCACCCCTGGGTGTGTACTTAACAGAACATATATCCTGTGCCCTAAAAGGACGAAAGTGTTCATAGCCCCACTGGTAACAAGCCAGGTGTCTCTGTCAGCAGTAGCGTGGGGTTTGTATGCACTTTATGTGTTACAAGATGAATGAGCTTTTCAAACATAATGTTGAGTTTCAACAGCCAAAAAGATAATCTGATTCCATTTATACAAAGTTCAGAAATAGGCAAAATTTATCCCAGTGCCAGAAATCAGGGAGTTACCTCTGAGGAGGAGGTAAGGGACAGTAACTGGGAGGCCCCCAAGGGTCCCTGGGATGTGTTCAGATTGTGATAATTCTCACATGCTATTCCCACACAGACGTGCACATATGCACGTGCATTCACGTGTAGGTTATATTTCAGTATGTCCACTCAGAAGAAGTTTGAAGGTGTGGCCCAAATGTGCTGAAACAGAGGTGGGGAGAGTATATTTTGTAACACAGAATAGATGCAAGGGGAAATGCCTTAAGGAAAAAAAGGGGAGCGTGTATGCTCACACAGCTGAAAAGACGTGTCTGGATCCAGGCTGACTTGGTCTTCGGGGCCCGACCTTGATGAGGTCAGGTCTCCTTTAAGTCCACTCTTCATGGTGGACCTGCGGGTCGTGGTTCTCCCTCGTGATCACAGGGTGGCTGCCAGAGCTCCACACTGTACACGTTCTCATTGATTCACAAGCAGCAGCAAAGGAAAGGCTTGGGCCTGGCTCTTGTGCCTGCTTTGGGTCCCCTCTCTGCCCCTGGGCCTGTCAGTCACTGTGACCAGGGAGGGCCAGTCAAGATCTGTCCTGAAGGAAGGGGATTATTACCTGTCTCAGGTGATACATGGGTTGAGAATAGGGAGACGTGGTTCCCAGAGGGCCTTTAGGGCTCTGTTTGAACCAAGGATACATAAATGTTTGGCAGTTTAGCAGCAGACACAGTGACGTCTACAGCAGGTGTGGGAGCGCTTTGAAAGGCAGAAAGCATGTATCGGGTATGTCAGTTTGTCCCTCCTCGCACTTGCCTGTGCACGGATTCACTTGGTGAGGGCTTGGCTGGCACGTTGAGGGGCCGCTCTGAGGGGGCCTCGTGCCCAGTGCAGCTGGGGCTCCGAGGGACGGCCCCACCTCGGGGGTCGGGTCAAGCTTCCTGGAGAAGTTGCCTTTGAAAGGACGCTGGCGGGATGGGCAGGTGTGGCCAGGTACAGCTTTAGAATGTCCAGGGAAGATTAGGACGGACCTTCCTTATACAGGACAGAAGTGCTGAGTACAAAAGGAAAACTTTGTAAGTTGAACTTCTTGAGAATTAAACGTCTGCTGTTTGAGACTTTTATGAATAGTCAAGCCACAGAGTAGGAGACTATAATCACAAGGCATGTATTTAACAAAAAGATTTGTATTTAGAATGGATGCAGAACTCACAAAACTCACTAAGATGACAGTCTCGTGAAAAAATTGGGTGAAAGGTTTGAACAGACACTTCACCGAAGGGGAGCAGCAGGGGGTGAGGGGCCATGCGGAGACCTCCAGGTCCTTGCTCATTAGGAGGTGAGACCACCACCACTCGGTTGAATGGCTGATGTTTGATGATTGACAGCACTAAGTGTCAGGGAGGGTGGGAACATCTGAAAGTCCCATACTTTGTTAGGTCGAATGTAAAGTGGTGGAAATGTAAATCTTTGGAAGGTGGAATGTAAATCTTTGGAAAAAGATCTGGCGGTTTCTTGGAAAACTAAACATACATGTACATTATGACCTGGCGACTTTACTCCTAGGTGTTTAATCAGGAGAAAATAAACGTATATCCGTAAAAATCTGTGCAAGGACATTTATAATAAGCTTTCTTCAGTGCAGCCCCAGGCTAGAAACAACCCAGGTGTGCAGCAAGTGGCTTCACAGACCATGGTGTACCCAGGCGGTGGAGGGCTGCTCAGTAGGAAAAAGGAAGGGACTGCTGCTTTGTGCACCAGTTTGGGTGAATCTCAGAAGACAACAGGCGGAGAGGGGGAAGCCTTACACAAAAGCGTGGGTCTTTATGATTCCGTTTACATGAAGCTCTGGGGCAGGTGGCAGAATGCATGGGGTGGGGGTGATGAGCGGCTGCCTGGGACCGCTGGTTGAGAGGGTGGGGTGGACTCCGAGGGCATGGGGAAGGGCTGGGGTGGTGCTTGCACAGCTATACCCTCTTGTCAAATGTCTTGGAATTCTACTTAAAAGAGGCACCTTATATTTAATATGTAATGTCAATAATGCTGATTTAAGGAGTGGAAAAAAGAAGCAGAAACCATATAAAACCTGGGGCTGTCTGGCCCTGGAGTCTGGGCTCTTCCCTGCTGCCTCCTGCCACTTGGCCTTTTCTGGTTTCAAGTCCACTTTCTGTATCAGGCCTGCAGCCGCCAAAGCCCATGAATCTTTGGAGAGAGAGAAGGTTTGCATAGGTGACACCTCAAGGTGTGCAAATGAACACACGTATGTATCGTTGTGTGTACGTGTATGAACATGCATGCACATGTAGCTACAGCTATCATGAGACCACACAGATGCCTGAATTCTTCCTGGTAGGTACATGAGGCATCAGGAGAGGGGTGGCTTCTCCTCTCTATCCTGCTGTAGGAGAAGCATGCATGCGGGCCTGCTGGGGAGGTTGGGCTGCCTCTTTCGTGGCTGCAGATAAAGGGGGCCACTCAGCAGGGCTGCAGGTACCTGGCCCACAGCCCCTGTGTAGTGCCCTCTGAGTGGTGCTGATTTTATTCCTGTCTGTCTCCTTTCTCACAACTCACTGGTGCTCTTGTCTATGCCAGATTTTAAGACACCAGCTCATTTAAGACGTGAGCCCTTTTATTTCAAGCTTTTAGTAGAGATTCCATGAATTAGCATTAACCAAACATACTTCTGGTTCTTGTGTTTTTTTCCCCAGGGTTACCTTCCTGCCAATGCAGACCGAAGACCATCCACTCTCCAAAGAAAACAAAAAGAATATTTTGCTTTTATCGAGCATTACTACGATTCCAGGAATGATGATGTCCACCGGGACACATACAGACAGGTAGGGAACCTTTTTTTTTTTTTGTGTTATATGAAGCCCTGTGACTTGGTGACTCCTCGTAGGAGGAAATGTCTTACCTGGCATGCCCCTGATTGGGTCACACATACTTACTTTCTAATGAATGAATAAATTTGAAAACAGTTAATGGCATACTTGTAATAGCAGGGTTTTGCTTCTAGTTCCTTCTACAAAGTGAACGGGGTGTTTTAAATTGCAGTAGTGAAACTGATGCCTGAGACCTGCCTTGGGTGGTGGGGGGTTTTGTGTCTCAGGGAGGCGCTGTGTGACCTGAAAGTCCAGGGGCAGGCGTTTTACTGGGTCGGGTCAGGGGAGAGACTCCACTGGGCTCCGGGGACATTGTGCTGTGAGTGCTGTTAGGGACGTGATTTAGACGGAAGGATCAGCTCAGTGCCGGGGACACAGGTCAGTCTGAAGCAAAAGGTGTAGCCAGTTTATTGTTTGCATTATTTAGTTTCATACAAAATGGGTAAAATTATGGCTTCTTGAACAGTTGACAGGTGGTGTGCATAGTGGAGAAATACTTGAAATTAATTTACAGTTCACAGAGCCTTCAGAATTCACTGCTGGAATATTCTTCGAGGCCTTTATAATGCTCACTCTTCGTATCATGTGAAATTCAAAATGGTTTGTGCTATGGTTAAACTGAAAGGCAGTTTTCTGTTGGTAGCACCTCCTCCCATTTCTGAAACCAGCTCTGACCGTCCAGAGACGCAGGTATTGCTGTTCCCCTCTGGGGAAGGGCTGTCCTCTAGGTGAGGCAGCATTCCCGAATTTTTCTACCTCGGATACAGTCTGTCCACATCTCTGTGCCATTTGGTGTAGATTCCAGAGACAGGCTCTGTTCCTCTGGGTGGCGATCAGAGGTCCTTTAAGTTAAGGATTCTCGGAGAGCGCCTCCTTGTAGACGGGCACAGTGGAGGCCCAGGAGGAAGGCCGCCGTGCCTGGGAACCGTGTCCCTCCCCCCAGGGGCCTCTCCGCCTCCGGCCGGTGCGCCTGTGCTGGAACCTGTCCCGTGTCTCCTGCCTGGGCGGCCCCCAGGCCACAGGACCCGGCCACCCAGTCACTCCGGGAGCAGATCTGACACCGTTGCCTCTGTGTTTGGTCAGAGACATGTTACCTGGTTTACTGGTCCACTCCACTGGTTCTGGGTAATGGGTAAATTTGGTGCTCTTTTGAACATGTTTTTGATGTATGCATTCAAGGACAAGACTTCCAAAGGATGACACTAGCATTTATCTGTGAATTTACCAAGCTGTGTTCCATTATGAATTTCTTAAGGGAAAGTTAATTAAATACGGGTTGCATACATCTTTATTTGGTTACTATGATAGATAATGAAAAGCTTCCATATTACTGCAGATTCCCACAGTATTTCTCCATTAATGTAACTGGGGAGAATGTAACCCGCGGAAGTATGCCAGTGGCCCCTGCGCTGCTGCCGAGTGAGCCTGCCCCTCGGGAGCAGCCGCCGTGCTGTATGGCCGCGCCCGTCTCAGGCCGGTCCTTCAGTCAGGAGAGCTCGGCTGGGGCTGAGGCTTGGATGCCCTGGTCTCTCCCTGCCGCCAGTCACGGCATTTGGCCCCATGCAGACCTCCAGCGCCCGCTGCTCTGCATGGGGTGCGCGGCCTGCCTCCCACCTGCGGGTGTGGCAGGAGCCAGGCCAGCGTCTGTGGCCCCTGCCGCCGGTGCCCTCGGCTCATGGGTCCAGCGCTTACTCTTAGCTGAAGGGTTGTGTCCAACGCATGCGGAGTTGGTGGGAGTTAAAGATCTGTCGGGCGGGTCCTCGCCCCTCCGGAGCTCGGCAGGCCATCATGGTCTCCCCTGCTCACCCAGTCCCGTACGTGGGGGCACTTGGAGCCCGCACGTCTGACCTTGCATGGTGCCCCCTCTACGTCGGACCTCCTCCTCCTGATGGCGCAGATGGCACCAGGGCGTGAGCTCCTCAGTGAGGTGGCTCTTCAGTGAGGTGGACAGACGGGGCATGTTGGGAGCTTGCCGTGACGTCAGCTCTTAGTTTGGCTGCCTCCTGAGCCTGCAGGTGCATCTCTCTGTTGGGGTGGGGGCTTTGTGAGGATTCTCGTGTCAGGTGGCACTCAAGCAGAGATCAGCCCATATTAACAGAGATTTTTAAATGCTTCCTTTGAAAGTGCCCTGGATTCCCTGTGGACTTTGTGAAGTGGAGAAAAATGTGGTCTGGGTTCCAAGAAAGAAGCTGTCACAGCTAAAACCTTGTACACTATTGATGTACTTGAATTGCTCCCCATGTCAGAGGCTGGAAATCGATGTTTACTAATTGCTATGGATTATGTTACTAAATAGCTGAGGGCCTGCTTTGTTCCTGATCATGCAGCAGCCAGTGTGTGATTGGGAAATGTCAGGCAAGCCCGGCATGCCAGGATGGGGACAGCCCATTCAGACAGAACCTGGCACCTCCCTGGGAGGAGAACACAGTAGCAGAGAGAGCTGGCACCTTGAGAGGGCAGATCAAGGCCCAGGGTCTCCCCCTTGCCATTATTAAGTATCGGTTTTTGATTGCAATGCTTGTAAGATTGCTATCTTTTAAAATAACCCTCATCTTTCTCCTTTATCTCCAGATCCACATAGACATCCCTCGAATGAGTCCAGAAGCATTAATACTTCAGCCCAAGGTGACAGAGGTAAGAACTGGGGTCCAGGAATCCTTGCAGAGGGCATTTTCCTTGTTGGGGGCGGTGCCTAAACTGTTGGTGCAGTTGACAATCTTCACCCACAGCAGGTTTGGGGTTGCCCTTGAGGGCATAATCCCCAGGAGGAATTGCTAATTGTTCTTAAAATATTTTCATTGTGTGATATTGATGATACAAAAGAATATAGGTAGCGTGCATGTGTGCGTGTGTGTGTGTGTACACACACCGGAATGTTCTGCCCACCACACGACAGAGACCCTGGTGTGGAAGCTCTCCCGGTCCTCACTAGCTCTCCAAGCCCTGCCCCTTCACCCCGTTATATCCACAATGCTTTGAGACCTCAGTGCCTGCCGCGCCACCCCTTGAAGATGCTGCCCTGGAGCTGTGTCATTCCTGTGCACCTGAGTCTCTGCGGCTTGTTCCTTTCTTTTCTCTACACTACTTTCTAAGGTGCAGCTAGTCTGTGTGTCTAGTTGTGTAATAGCCCATTATTTAAATATCCACACCCGGCTTCTTCCTGTTGGTGGACTTGGGGTTCGTTTCTGGCATTTTACTGTTAGAAACTGTGTGGCCTGGCCCTTCAGGTGCATTTATGCAGGTGCCCGCAGGCAAGCATTTCCCTGTGGCATTTGGGAGGGAGTCAGACTGTTGCGTTTGCACTATTGCCCGTGAGCCTGGTAAACTTAGGCTCAAGACAGCGCCAGCCTGCTTTTCAGATGGATAGGCTCCTCACGTCCCCCCTGCAGAGTGTTAGAGGCCGGGTGCCCCTGCCTGCCAGCCATTGGTAAGCCTGCTGCACGGTTTCTGTCTCTCTGGTGGGCGTCCTGACTGTGTTCCTCACTTTCCTGTCTCCGAGTGCGCTGGGGTCGGCATGTCCTCATGTTATGGACTTCGGCGCTCCCCTTCCAGAAAAGGCTGGTTCCTGTCTTCTGCTTGGTTTTCTTCCGGTTTGTTGATCTAGTTTTAGTGGTAATCGATCTTTTTTAGGGATTCTCATTTGTCCACTTGTGTGCTGTGAACTCCTTCTCCCACTCTGGCTTGTTGTTGCTGTCTTGGTGGCTGTTAATGATCAGAAGCTGCTGGTGTTGTGGACCTGTCACCCCATTCCTGCACAGGGTGCTGCTGTGTAAGTCCCGTCCTACACGTGCATCACGAGCTCTTCTCCCACATTCTCATCTGAGGGTTTCACATTTTTCCTTTAGTATCTACGTGTTTGATTCATGTATAATTGGCAGCTGTGTGTGATGTGAGGCAGGGATCTGGGTGGCTCTCTCCTGTACCGGCCTGTCCCCGCCTTGCTGATGGCTGTGTGAGCAGGTCCCGTTGTGTTCATGTCCTTTCACGTTTGCACCGATGTATTTTGTGTTTCCAGTTGTCCCAGTAGTCAGGCTGTCTTCCCTAATAGCACACCCTGCTCATTCATGTGGCTTGTATGTCTTAATAAGGGGGCCGGGGAGCCCACAGTCCGCCCTCCTTCCTCCGTATAATTGATTGGCTGGTCGCAGGCCTCTGCTCTTCCACATAAGCTTCAGAATCCGAGGGCCATGGTTTTCTTGTTTGGTTTTTGTTTTTAAAGTCTGTTCTCTTTATGATTGTAATTGCACTGGATCAGTAGGTCAGTTTGGGAACATTGACATCTTTATGAAATTTAGTCTTTATTTTCATGAACATGCTAATTCCCCATTTTTTAGGACATTTTTAATGCCTTTCAATGAAGTTTGAAAATTTGCCCCATTAAAGGCCCTGTGCATGTTTTATTAGGTTTATTTTCAGTTATCGTATTTTTTTTGTTGCTATTGTAAATGATACCTCTTTAAAAGATAATTTTTTATTGTTTGAAATATTTGTGTTGCATTTTGATTGCTCCAGAAGATACACTTAAAATTTTTTTGATAGCTCTTGTCTGTGCATTAAGTTTCTTGAAAAAAAAAATCCAGGATTACTAAAGCAAAAAAAGTATACCTAGATTATAGAACAGAAAGGGGGAAATTAGTTTTCCACAGAAGTAGTCATTTTGAGTCATTTTGAGACACTTCTCTTTGTCCTTTTCAATAGTTATGCATGTGTATCGTGTCTGGAAAATAAGAGATAACATATAAGCTCTTTTTTCACTTATTTTTTTTAATGGAAAATAGAGTTTGCCATGGGACCTATGCTTCATTTTTCCTTGTTTGTGTTTTTCCCCGCCATGTGACCCATTTTTGTGTACAGCTGCGCTTGCAGGCCCTTGGTTCAGAGAGGGGTCCAGTCTCTGCCTGCCTGTTGGTGTTGGGTGATCTGCTTGTGCGAGGCCCTGGCACCTCGACCCTGTTGTTGAGGCACCTCTGCCCTGGCAGCAGGCTCTCTGCTGAACCTCCTCACTCAGCTCTGTGCCGTCTTCCTGGTGCCAGCCCAGCATGGCAGGGCTTCTGGAGGCCAAGCGGGAGAGTGGGTGACTGTGTGTCGGGGGAATAAAGTGGTAAGCAAGGGGCTTTAGGAAAAGGAGAGAAATGTTGGTTTTGTGCTAACCAGGAGGCAAAATCATGTTAGTTTCTGGCATTTCAGAGGCGAGGCTCTCAGCCCCTCTGCAACCCTGGAGGCAGTTCAGGGCCGTCTCACGTGTGAGCCCATCGGCAGTGAATTGGCCCCTCCTCTGTGCTTGCTTCCACCTCGTGGTCCAGGTGGGCTGCCTCGGCTCTTTGCATCACTTCAGAGTCCACCAGCAAGAATACTAGGACGCAGAAGGGAAGGGCACACCCCCTCCTCTCCGTTTAAAGCTGTTTTGGAGAGGTTGCTGTAGGACTTCTGCTTGTACCTGTTGGCTAGACTTAGTCACGTGGTTGTGCTGGGCTGTAGGGAAGTCGGAAAGTGTAACTGATTTTTAGCTGGTCACGTGCCCCACTGAAGGTTGGGGCATCTGACTGCTCAGGTGGAAGGGTTTCTGCCCAGGTGTTTCCCCCGGTCTGTCTCACCTTTGTGTTCTTTCAGCAGGTGACACCAAGTCCTGCTGTGTAGGCCTCTACCCTGACCACCTGTCAGGTTTCTTGGCCTCTTATTCATGTCATGACATCATCACCTGCTTTAAATGCAGAGCAGAGTTTTGGTGCCTGTCTATAGGAACGGGCTCTAGAATCACCCTCTAGAACACTCCCATCACCGTGGAAAGTTCCCTCTTGTCCGTCTGCTGTCAGTCTTCTGTCCCCACCTGCTGCCTCTGGCAGCTGCTAATCTCCAGAGGTGTGCTTTTTAAGAATCACATTGCAAAAGAGTCACACAAATTGCAGACTTTTGTGAGTGGCTTCTCTTAGCTCTTGCTTGCACATTGATCCACATTGTCAAATGTCACTGCTAAGTGGGACCCCACTTAGTTTCTGGGTCTCACTCACTAGTTGACGGGCCCTTGGCTTCTTGCCAGTTTTGGGCCATTACAAAATAGATTTGTTCTAGACCTTCATGCATAAACCTAGTGAAGGCATCTGTGCGCCCCGTCTGGTAGGTACCGGGGAATGGAGCGGCTGTTACGGTAAATGGAAGTTTAGAGACTGTAAGAGGCTGCCAGACTGTTTCCGCAGTGGCCGTGCCAGCCTGCTGCCCCTGCGCCGAGGTGTGTTCTGGTCGCCCCGCGTGCTGTTGCAGCCCGTGTTGTGCCTGTCCTTCAGCAGGTGTGTGGTGGTGTCTCACGGAGCTGTGCCCTGTGCTTCTCCTTTGACTCGTGATGCCGAACATCTTTTTGTACGCTGATTGCCGTACATACATCTTCTTTGGTGAAGTGTCTGTTCCATTTTTTTGCTCACTGTTTAATTGCTTTTAAAACCTTTAGCCTTCCTGATTCCAGACCTTCTGAGTCAGACTCTGGGGTAGAGCCTGGAAGTCCCTGTTTTATGGAAGCTCAGCCAGACTTAGAGGCCACAGGGCTTGTTTAACTGCTGTCAGGAGGGGCTTGCAGTGAGTTGGCATTGAGGACTGTGGAGGGTGGGTGGTCATTGCCCCGTGATCTGCACCTGGAAAGCAGCAGATTGGCCAGAGCCAGTGGCCTCTGCCAGGAGGTCACTGCCCTCCTCCCAGGCAGTGGTCCAAGTCCTGGGGAGGGCGGGTGCCATCTGGGCTTCTCTGCCCCCGTTGGTGGGGGCTGTGCTGTGCAGGTAGGGCCATCGGGTGACCCCGCTGCAGCTGCTCCTACCTGACCCCCCAGGGGCCCCCAGCCCTGCGTCCCTGCCATTCTCCCCTCTTCCCCCACTCTGCTCTGCCTGAGCACACTGTCTGAATGTCTGAGTCTGGCTCTGACTCCAGGGCCTCACGCAGGCTGTGGCCCAGAGCAGCTGCTCACAGGTGCTGGTTGAATGAATGACTGGACTCCCCTTTCTCTTACCCATGACCTTGGAATATCTGGGTCCTTCTGGGCCTCTCCCTGGAGGTTGCCTTGTCACACTGCCACCCCTGACGACCCCTAATGCCAGCAGCATGCAGCCCCCCGCCCCCCCCGCACTTTGTATGCTTTGAGCCACTTACTGCCAGGTTGTGTCTGACCTGTTTATGACGTGACTAGCTCCACTGCCCTGGGAGAGCAGGCGTGTGCCCCTCGCTGTTCCTGGTGCCTGAGCGTCACCTGGTGGAACCTTACGGGACTTAGGAGAGTTTGTTGAAATTAGTAATCCATCTTTTTATCCAACATTCTTATTGGGAAGTAAAATTCATAGATTGCTGGCCATTTGCTCTTTCTTTTCTTGTCCTGTACGGAGCAAACCTGACTGACTACATTAAGATGTGCGCATCCTGCCCTGTGGGCCTCTGGCAGCTGTGGGTGGTTCTGTGAGTTTATTGAAAAACCACGTTCACGCAGCACAGCTGGGCCTTGTCTGTCATTAACTTCATTGTCTACTGAGTGACTTTTCCTCTGTAGTTATGTTACTGCCCTCTGGTTATCTGCTTCTTAGAGCAGTTTCACAAATTAGGGAAATAACATGCTTTTTCCAATTAGCCACGGAGAAGTGCTATCTCATTATATTCAAACA